GAGGGACTTCCCCCTGCTGGTGCACCATAGCTTGAGGAGGGACTTCCCCCCGATGGTGCGCCGTAGCTTGGGGAAGGACTGTTTCTAGAAGGCGTCTCGTAGCTTGGGGATGGATGCCCCTTCGAGGGTGCACCGTAGCTTGAGGAGGGACTTCCTCCCCCCGACCTTTCCCGACCGCGAACCGGTGCCACGGCGTTGGGGTCCATGCCGGGCCGGGCCCGTCCGCGAGTTGCTGCCCCGGGCCCAGCAGGGCCTGGAGGGTGGTACCCGCCGGGAGGAGAAGACGGCGACGGCGACGGTTGGATCCCGCTTCCCCGGGCTGGCGCGCCGTACGACGGGGACGGTCTCGAGCTCATCCTGGAATCCTCGTCCTCCGGGACGCCGCTGGGCGGGATGTGGTTCCGCAGTGGAGTGCCCCCGCCGCCTCCGGGCGGCCCGCCCCTCAGCCCCACGCCGAGCCCTGGTGCCGTGTAGTCGGTGGCCGGGCCCCCGCCGCCGCCGTGGCCCGGGGGGAGGTAGTCGCCGTCGGCCAGCTCGGCCAGGTCACCGTCGATGAGCACGCCCGCCGCGAAGAGCAGCAAGACGACGCCGCGCCGCCCCAGCGCCTGAAGGAGCATCGAGGAGCATCGTGTTGGTGAGTGGAGTGTATTGCACACGGATAGAGATAGGAGGGGGGGAGGGGGGCACTGGCCTCGCCGCGCTGCGTGGACATGCACAGGTGCTCGCCCGTGCTCGCCATTGTACATACGTACCGCCCCGCCCCGCCTGATGCGACGACACTCGACCGGACAATAAGACAAGAAGCGCCTCTCCCGCGGGGAGCTCGGGCGGTGCACTACATCACGCTGCCGAGAGCGCGGCCCTGGGACGCCACGCGGCGACGCGACGCTCGCGGGTGGAAGCCGTCCATCACGCGTGGGACCACTTCGTACAAGATCACAACGCACTCTGTCTTTTCATTTAAATGGTCCGCATTTGCACTCGATCTTTCGGCAACGGCCAGAAAGTACGTCCCTTTTTCTCGGATTCCTTCATCGACAAAATACGGGAGCTCGGCGCCTGCGAGCCTCGGGGTAGGCCATCCCGCAGTACACGCCTGCACAGCAGGCATGATGTTGCCTACCCAGCAGGCGCCATGGGACCTTGCATAGGCTGAACTTGGGAGGTTCGAAACGGCGATTGACGGACGTACTTTCTTGATGATCCCTCAATCGCCAGGCGCCGGTGAAACATTGAATTGGAGAGGTATCCCTCGGGCATGCTAGTGGCTGATGAACCGCCCCACACTTCGGCGTGGACGAGGCGAAAGTCAAGTAAGTGACGTCCATTTGACGTCAACTTGACACGAAAAGTCAAAAGTACATCCAGAATGCAGCTTAGAACACCCGCCTAGTATTGGGGACCTTTTTGATAGGACCGTCAGGTGCCCCATCCCAACCAACCACAGCAGTTGCTCTGTGATCAGTCGCAACGGGAGAGCCCCTTTGCAGAGAAGCACACATCGTGACAGTCGAGACATCGCCTTCCCTCTCTCTAATCGACCCCCATCGCCCGAAGGACAGAGATTTGTCAAATAAGTAACATCTCGGTGGCGGCGTCATAAGTCAATATGTACACTGAGAAAAAATTTTGGTCCTAAGCACAAAACATATTGTCCCGAGACCGAAATTTTTTGACGCACTTTACAGTTGTGCCTAGGCACCAAAGTTTTGTTGCCCAGCTTTAAAACTTTGGTGCCACGCACAGTAATTTTAAAGGCGGGAACTAAATTTTTTGTGCCAGGAACAAAGTAGGACGCATTAAACAACCGTCTAGTGCCCGGCAGGAAAAAAATTTTTCTCAGTGTAGCATCAATCTTAACAAACCAAAATGATATCATGTCGACACCAGTATATGAGTCGTCCGGATTACAAAATTTTAACTCGTGGGGTCGTCACCTTGATGTCATGCTGGACAACAAATTTGACCTTTGACCGCGACAGCCCGATAATACAGTATGTTCAATTTCAACCGACACCCCAATAAAGTGCGACGGCAATCTGCGAACACTTCTGTCGCACTGAGAAATATTTTTAGTCCTGGGCACTGGACTTTTAGTCGCCAGACCGAAAGTTTTTGACGCACTAATAACACTTTGTTCTAGGGACAAAAGTTTTGTTGCCTGGCCTTACATGTTCATTGCCCCTTACCAAAGTTTCGCGGGAACCAAATGTTTAGTGCGGGGATCAAAATACGGCGCAATAGACAACTGTCTTGTCCTAGGGGAGAATTTTTTTTCTCAGTGCGTCCGTAAAAGAACACGGGAGAACAAAGGGCCTTGCGTTTCAGGCGACGGTAGTCCCGCTCCGCTCACCTGCATGCTAGTATCGTGCTGGTGTCCAGTCGTGTCCAGCAGGTACTGCAGTCCGGCCGGCACCGCGCGTTCAACTGGAGTCTAGGTCGCCAGGACGACCATTTATAGATGGGGATGAGCAAGATCGGCTAGAGCGCCCTGCTACACTCGGACGCACGCAGCGGGGAGGTGGAGCGCAGCCGGGGGACGATATCGAGAACCGATGTCGTTTTGATATCGTATAGACAGCATTTGCTTTCTCGTGTGGCGTCATCGGTGTTGTCAGTTCCCTAGGTTCGACGCCACCACCACCACAGCTTTGAGTACCGGGTGATTCAGAGCACGCGCCGCCGTGTTGCGGGTTTGCCTATCCTCGACTCGGCGGGCGCACGGGTGAGAGGTGAGGAGGAGAGGGGTCTCCTCCTTAATACTTAATGCTGCTTGGGCATAACAGTTTAAAACAAATAAGAAAAACCCTCAGAGTTTGACATCGCACGACGTTTTTTTTTTCGGACGAATGTATCTCGGAACAAAAGGCGGGGGAGTGCGACGCCAACGCCCTTAGTGGGGCAGGCGAGCGGAGGTGGGGTCACGGCGGGAGGGAAGTCCACGACACGACGGCCGCCGCGGCGAGGTGATGCAGCAAGGCGTGAGGCTGCTGGCAGCCCTCGGCAGCCCGGACGAGAGAGAACAATGCGCACGACGCCCAGCCTCGCGCCCTTGCGGGGGTCAGGCGTCCGAGAGTTTACCGCGCTTTGTGAGCGTGCAGGCCACACGTGTGGAGCACGAGACTCGCCCGAGACCTGCACGTGGTGTGCTGAGTCAGATCAACGTCCCTCCGGGGGACAGTGCGTGCGGCACAAACTTAAACATCCAGTAAGATTCAACGCGGAATAAAAATGAACAAATACGTGAAAGCCTTCCTCCGTCCCCCGATGCCCACCGATACCTTATCCCTATTGTGGGCGGATGGGCGTTGTTCACCGAGGGAACACGCACACAATGCCAACTCGTATTACCAGTCTCTCCTTCTCTCTAACAAACACACACACGCGCGCGCGCGCGCACAGCTTCGGTTGGCGCACGCCGTTTCCTTTCAAATATCGCACCGCGAAAACAAAAAAAAAAAAAACAAACAAACGCGAATCGAGAGCGGGCGAGGCCCAGGGACTGCAGAACGGACAATGACAATTTGTCATACACATGATTGGTGTTGGTGTTTGGGTTGGGTTAAACTGGTTAAACTCGTCAAAATTCCTTGTCAACAGCTTGTCAAAAGAGAAAAATATAGGAAAGGCTTTGTCCGCGTAAGGCAGCGTGTGCAAAGCCCTTGCTTGTCGCGGAGGAGACAAGTTCTGCACCGAACGGTCGCTTATTACATTTCCTTGCCAACTGATACTTGTGCAGCAAAATGCAGATATTCGACCACAGTTTCCGACCGCATCTAGACTTTCTGCTGAATTGTAACTTTACGGGTGAGAGGTCTTAAAATTAATTTGGCTGTGCTTTTCACCTACTGTTATCTGAAAAGTTGTCTTCACAGGTGCTTCTGTGCTCATCTATTTTCTTGCAAGGTTATGCTTCTGCACTTGTGACTTATCTCCGCTTTTATCTTACAGGAACCTGTTTTCAGAAACTTTCTCTCAAAGACCAACAATCCAGTACTCCGTCAGTATTCTGCAAAGACCCTATTTACGACCACTTTAAGGTCACTATACCTTATGCTGGCTTTATACTGGTGTGGGAAGTTTTATTTGACTCTACGTGTCCTGAGCAAGCTCCTGATTTCTTGTTTGACGATGATTCTTTCACGTCTTTTTTAACTGTTGACATTCTCTCTCAACGAGTTCCAAGTCTCAGCAATTGGAATGTAAGCAACCCAGAATGCCTCAGCAAGGTTCTTCAAGAACTGCTCAACCTGTATACTGTGCACCAACTGCAACGCTTGGTTAGTTTAGTCCAAAATTCTGTAAAAAACAGTGAATCCAATATTCTAGGCACATAATATTCAGAAATTATTAATGTTCAACTCTCTCAATGTTGCAGGAGAAAGATGGTTCTTCCCTTGGAGTGGAATGCTCAAAGTTAATGCAAGAGTTTGAATTGGATGAAAGACAGCTTCAAGTTTTGTCTGGAGATTCTCCTATATTAAATCACAATTACTATGGAGGGTAGGTGAAATTCAAATTTTTAAAAGCTCATTTAATAAATTTTAAGTCTTGTTAATAACCAAGTTGCTCTTAGATCAACCAGACCACCTCATGGCACAGTTAGCATGATGTTCCTTAATTTAGAAGAACAATTGGCTATTGAAAATATTCCCAAACGCTTTCGTCAAATTGCATTGCAGTTTGGTATTAGAGAATATAATCCCAGCACTGTGGTCTTACACTTAAATCCTGGTCTTCGCTATTTGCTTGGTCAGCAATCAGACCTAGAAATACCAAATTATTCAAAAAGTGATGGTCTGCCTTCATATTTTCGCCACTTCTTCAAGATAGTTCATGAGACTTTAAGTCAGGTTGGTATGGTAACTTGTGTAACTAAAGCTAAATTCTCAATCTTCTTAAATTCATATGCAATTTCTTTGTTAACAGGTAACTCAAAACTATGATAGGCGTGAGGAGTTTCATTTGAACATGCTCCAAAATCTAACCACTTTAAATGATGTGTCTGTGAAACCACTTGAATGTGATATGCCACATTTCACATCAAGTACATATATGATTGAAATCAATGACTACCCCATTATAGTTATTATTCGCACCCCAAGTTACAGGTGAGCCGTAGTAACTGGAGTGAAATCCATCGAGCCACTTGTGAGCGATCTGTTCTTATTTCATGACATTTGTTAACATACTCTAGCCTTGGAGACCCTAAAGTCTTCCTGAAAACTCTCACCGGCCAAACTAAAGAAGTCAGTGTGAGTTCATCATGGGACGTCCAGAAGGTTACACAAGCAATATTGGACTCTGTGATGACCCTTTTCGAAGAAGATTCTGACTCCTCATCCTGAACAGCATATTTCTCACTGATTTCTGCACCTTAATGCCATACAAACATCAAAAGGTTATAAAGTATTGAAAAAAACTTTTCTTT